ACACCTTGAAACATCTTCAAGAGCCTCGCGAAGGAGCATGCCCACAATCAAGGGAACTAAGGTTAGCCTTAACGACTTGCACAAGCACTACTGACAGTGCTTGCCACAGATAGTTTCCAGAGCTTTGCGATGCTTCATTGGAAAAATGTAACAGCAAAGTCTGGGCGAATTCGGAAGTCAAGTGTTCTTGTGACCCTTTTGTCAAAACACTGTCACAGAATGGAGGCAAATGTGTAAATTGTGTATACATGCGGAATGACACTGGTCACGCACTGCCATGGTGGGAAACTTTATGCGTTGCAGTTTGCCTATTTTCTTCTTTGACTCGTCTTTTTTCTTCTCGCCGTGCAATCAGGGAGCCATATGAGCTCAAAAAGCATCTCTGAAGGCTTGATGGGCACTGAAGCGGCAAATATCTTCGAGACTGACCACGGCATGGTTCCCACACCTTGGTGCAAGAATACGAGGAGCAAGGACGCTACTAGGGGCTCCTGGCCTTACTACTAGGAACAAGAAGCTTCTAGGAGCAAAGGGCATCGCTACTAGAAGCAAGGACGCTACTAGGGTGGAGGCCATCGCTACAAGGGTGAAGGCCATTCGTAGTACGTTCTTTTTGCTATTAGGTTGGAGGCCATCGCTACTAGTAGCAAGAAGCTGGACCGTCTTGCATGTTTCATTTTTCCTTCCAATTGTGGGCACAAACAATCAGCTTCCTTCAGCTTCAGTGTGCTGTAATAAAAGCTGCTGTGCTTGAACCCAAGCACCGAGAAGATTGGTAATGGTGGTAAGCAGAACAGCCAGGGAGACGTTGCCCTGTCCGACATGTGCTACGGCACCGCTACTGCCCGTAGACTATAGACTCTGTAAATATCCTGCCTTGGCTTGTGTTACCATAGTCACACCAGACGAGAGAGTGGTCGGCACTACACAGAAGACCGCAAGGCCCTCAAGGCAACATGTGGAATTGAATGGCCTCCAACCTAAGAGCGATGGCCTCCAACCTAAAAGTTGGACATAAACTCATTTAAAGGTTGGTTCCAATAATCCGGTGTTTTCCATGGAAATGCAGTTCTGTGGTTTTGGGACACTTGGCAAGTTCAATCACGGTCTCCTGCAGCAAGCTCTCTTCAACATAGCCGTGCCTCCCAAAATATGAACAAACATAACGGTGCTGCTTGCCCTACTTTTGAACCTAATAGCAATGGCCTCCAACCTACTAGTGATGGCCTCCAACCTAGTAGCAATGCCATGCATAGCCGCGCTCCCTACTCATTTCAGTGCTGGGCGCAACTTGCGTCTTCCAAAACGTGCTGAGTTTCCAACCCAAAATGCAGAATCGGCCAAGCCAACAATGGGGTCACGCCAAGAACCAGCACGATGCTCAATATCAAAGCCTCACGAAGTGTCAGCCATTGCACCAACGCGGACCAACTCGGCACTTTTTGCACGCGATTCTTCAGCAAATAGTAAAAACCTAGGGAAAAAGAGAAAGAGATGAAGTGAACATTTCTCGAGTCTCGGCATGTACTCGGACGGCATACACAGGGTTGGCGGGATTGGAGTGTGATTTAACTGCAAAGAGATCTGGCCAAGCCTTTACGCAAAGTATAACTTGGCTGACTGCAGCAAATCACAGCGTGTTTAGGGCTGGTCGAGTAGAATATCAAGTCATAGACGAACTGTGAGTGCGTGTAGATATGAACGATGGCATGGGAATGGCAAAATGGCAGAAAGTCTGAAGTGACCAGGCCAGTGCGTGTCACTTCGCCCGACTCGGAAAGCACCCCACGCTCTGCCAGAAAGCATGTACTGAGAATTGCCACCTCGCTTCTTCACGATATGCAAGGCCATCGCTACGAACGGAACAAGAAGCTACTAGGAACAAGTGCCACGCTAGTAGTAACAGGTGCCTTACTAGTAGTAACAAGAAGCTACTAGGAGTCAGGGCCACGCTAGTAGTAACAGGTGCCTTACTAGTAGTAACAAGAAGCTACTAGGGGCTCCTGGCATCACTACTAGGAACAAGAAGCTACTAGGAACAAGTGCCACGCTAGTAGTAACAGGTGCCTTACTAGTAGTAACAAGAAGCTACTAGAGCCTCAAACGCTACTAGGAGCAAAGGCCATCGCTACGAACGGAGCAAGGACGCTACGATCGGGGCTCCTGGCCTGACTACTAGGAGCAAGGATGCTACTAGGACCTTACTAGGAGCAAAGAGCATCGCTACTAGGAGCAAGGACGCTAGTAGGTTGGAGGCCAAAGCAAAAAAAAACACACACCGCACTGCCACAGTCTGCAAAGCACTCCACTCACTTGCGCTCGACTCGAAAAACTGAAAAAACACATCTGCTTAGAGTCACACGGACTTTGACGCTTGCATTCTGCTTTTAAAACATGTTATATACTGGTAGCTTCTTGCTACTAGTAACTAGTAGCTTCTTGTTACTACAGGTGAAACGATTCCAAGGAAGCTTCTAGCTAGTAGCTTCTTGCTACTAGTAGTAATGCCCTTACTACTACTAGTAATGCGCTTGTTACTAGTAGAGAGAGCAGTCGTGCGAGAAGGAAATTGTAGAGCATGGCGCAAAGCATTCCGTGGAGCGGATGGAGCACTTTGTGAGTGGTGCAGTGGGCCACTGGACACGGAACGCGACAACAGGGAGAACCACTTCTCAACAAACGGTGCGGAAGGTGTGGAACGATTTGGTTGCAGTTGGGTGCTGTCCCCTTTTGAGTTCCGCCTTGTATTGCAAGCATTCGGAGATCGAGTCCAAGCACAGGCCGCTGACAATGAAAATGACAATCACCGCCACCTTCGTCCAAACAAAACAGAAACACTGAGAAAACAGCCAACATAAAGAAATAAAGTTGTTTCTGTTTGTGTTTTTGTTTTGTTCCATTTCAAAATCGATGTGACCTGTGGCAAGCGGAAACGTCCAATTTGAATGCCATCCAATGATTCACCTAGTCACAAAGAGCTGGATTCGACGACGTTCGAGAGTCTGCAGTTCCTTTTTATGTTTCCTTGTGTCGAACGATGGGTGCACCTGGAGCTGGACAAACTAAACCAAAGGTGATGACCTCGACAAATAAGAAAGCTACTACGAGCAAAGGGCATCGCTACGAACGGAGCAAGGATGCTACTACTGCTGGCCTAACTACTAGTACCAGTAGCAAGAAGCTACTAGGAACACGAAGCCCGATAGAATCATACACAGAGTGGCCAACGAAGTGTCAAAAAGACTAAGTTGTCAAATGTTCGCCATCTGCCAAGCCACGGCCAACAGACCCAGAATAAGGAAGTTCCTGAACGGATCAAATTAGGAAGACCGAAGAAACAAAGCTTAAATAAGGAACCTGAGCAAACACTTTGAGTAAGAGAGCTGCTGCAAATTAAGGTTCATGCTTGATGATGAAGTCCTTTGCTGCCATGTTTGCCGGCTTTGAGAGAAGCAGCTCTTGGCATGGAGTGGTCGAACAAGCTCCAATGCTACAAGGTAACTAGGCATACCTTGAGAGCGGGTAAAAGGTTCTTTTTGTACACCTAGTGTGCCTTATCATGCCTTACCACTAAGTACTGTTCTGTGCTCCAAAGCCATCCCAATATGTCGCATGTGTTTCAATGTGCAATGTCATCTTCTGTGTAGAGATGGGTCTGGCTGGAGTCTAAGCAAGGAATAAAAGTATTTGTCACTCCCTTCTGTGCACTTGTTCCTAGTAGCTTCTTGTTACTACTAGTAAGGCACTTGTTACTAGTAGCGATGCACCTGTTCCTAGTAGCTGTCACTCCCTGTGAATCCCAACCCCTTCTACGAACTTCTGCGAAGGAAAAAGGGATAGCACGAACCCTCGGGCAGCACAAGAAGTCTTCCACGAACGGTCGAAATCATCTACGCGCTCCGCAGGGTTAGCACGAACCCCAAAGACCTCCACGAAGCTCTGAGAACGGCAATCCACATACTTCTACTACTTATTGCATAGCCCGTTCGCTTCGCCCTGATGTTGTCTTGAATGAGGAGGTGCGACGTTGGCGAAGTTCCATTGATGGGTTAGAGGCCATCGCTATTAGGTTGGAGGCCATTGCTTGTAGGTTGGAGCACGTCGCTAGTAGGTTGCGAAGTTCCGTTAATGACAGTTCTTCACAGTCTGCTCACGGTTGGTCATGGAATTAAGAGCAGAAAGGAGACACGGCATGTTGTTTCCCAGAAAGTGGTGAAGGGGGATATGCGGAGACTGCTAAGTCTAGTTTAATTCTATTCTAATTAATTCTAATTCTTGTTTCTACTAGCTTCTTGTTACTACTAGTAAAGCACTTGTTACTACTAGTAAGGCAATTGTTACTACTAGTAAGTTACTATTGGCTTCTGGGGGATATGCGGAGACTGCTGAGTCTTCATTTGTGGAGTTTTTGTTGTGAAACGTAGGCTTCACAGGGCATCGCTACTAGGGGCTCCTGGCATCGCTACTAGGAGCGATCGGAGGCTACGTTCGGAACAAAGGGCATCGCTACTTCATTCACCACAAGTTGCAGTCGAGCCTGGGTGGATCTGGGATCTCCTCCCGTTGGTGTGTGCTGCTTCTAATTTAGTTACAGTTCTAATTAATTTATATAATTCTAATTCTTGTTACTACTAGCGTCCTTGTTACTACTAGTAAGGCACTTGTTACTAGTAGCTTCTGTGTGTGCCGCTTGTCGTTCCAGAGGCTTCACGACCGATGTTTTGGGCGCAAGCACGGTATGTATCGATATGCTACTAGTAACAAGTGCATCTCTTCTAGTAACAGGTGCCTTACTAGTAGTAACAAGAAGCTACTAGGGGCTCCTGGCCTTACTGCTAGGAGCAAGAAGCTATGAGTAGCGTCCGATCGCTCCGTTCGTAGCGATGCCCTTTGTTCCGAATGTAGCGTCCTCTTGCTCCTAGTAGTATGGCCAGGAGCCGCTACGTAGTAGCGTCCTTGCTCCTAGGACGCTATATGCATGCTTTGAGGGAACTTTCACCTCGATTAAGGCTAGTGCTGAACAAATCCTTCTTTTCTGCAGGTCTTGTGTTCGTTTCGGTCATGAGTCATGAGCTCGTATGTTCAAGTTTACAAGCAGGGCTCCTCAAACGTCTTTTTCAACTGACGCTGCTTGCAGGTGGCCTTTCCTTCCAGGAAGGATGAACTCGTTGTGGGATCGGGCAGGTCTTGCCCTCGAAGGGAGTCTTTAGAGCCAAGCGTCCACCACTTTGTAGACCCCAGGCCCAAACTTCGCCAGCATCCGTCACGGCCATTGAATGGGCATATCCACAAGAGATACCCATCAGTGATGGAGCGCGAGTCTCGCGAGTGTCGCTCTGAGTTCCTTCGGCTTCGGATCGGCTTCTGGATCCGACGCCCGGCGTGCCCCATCCTTTGCAATGGATCAGCGTCGGTGGAACCTGCTCTGGGGCACCCAAGCCCAGGCCCAGTTGACCTTTGCTGTTGTCTCCCCAGCCCCATAACTTTTTCATTTGCCCCTTTCGAGTGACACACAACGTGTGGTTTGCGCCAGTTGCCACGGTGACCACTTCCTCATCGGGTCCAAGCTGGCGGAAGAGCAGCGGAGATGTGATGTGGTCTGCTTCAGAAACAAGGTAGTCCCGTCCGAAGACCCACAAGTGACGTTGGTCTTCACAAACGGCACAAGTGTGAAACGATCCACAAGTGACCTCAAGAAAACGTGGGGATTCCTTCAAGGCAGCACTTAAATCAGTTAAGACATGCTCCACAAGCTTCGGCGTATACTGGTTGTGCATATCACCGTGGCCCAGCCGTCCGAACCAGCCTGCGCCAAATGTGAGAAGTTCTCCATTGTTGCCAATCAGAGCTGTATGGTTTTGGCCAGTGCGAACTGTCCTCACTCTCGCTTCCATATTGATCTGCTTGGGGAAACTCATAGCGCTTCGGATCATGCTGGAGCCATGACCAAGCTTTCCACTCTCAGCATTGCCCCAGGTGAAAACCTCGCCTCCGGGAGTAATTCCGGCCGAATGGTCTTCACCACAGGCGACGGAGACCGTTTTGGGCAACGCCGCCACGAAGGTCGGCTCCGACGTATCGCTGGTGGTGCCAAGGCCAAGCTGACCACGATGATTCCTTCCCAAAAAAAATAATGAAACATCGAAAAAATAAACACAAGAAAAGTGAAAGGTTTAAAACTAGTTAGGTTGGAGGCTATCACTAGTAGGTTGGAGGCCACCATTGGTTCACATTAGAAACAAAACAACATCACAAAGAAACCATTCATCACTCCTTCCCCAGCTGTAAAGCTCCCAATTTGTTGAAATCATCAAACAATGTTCCATGCCCAAAGCGACCGTGTGCACTTTGATTTTTAATCTCGAAATGGGATCAATGGCACTCAACAACGTTGGCTTCCACAGATCCCCAACGTTGTTGCCATTCTGACCATACTCGCCATGACCCCAAAGCCAGCACGAATCCTTCTCAACGGTAGCTGAATGCATACCTCCGCATGCAATCTGCAGCTGGCTGTACAAATCTCCATGCTCTGAGAGGCGGCTGTCTTTTGGCCCTTTGGTCTTGGAGCTGCCACCCAGAAGGGGCTGCCCATTTCGATAGATCTGTATAGGTGTTGGCTGATCGCTGGTTTTCAGGTCACTGGCCAACGAATTGCCAAGACCCAAACGTCCCAGACTTCCAGAGCCCCAAGAAAAAAGGTCACCTGAAGAGCTCAAAGCCAGGGAATGAAATCGACCTGCTGCAATTTCAACGATAAACGCATTTTTTAATTCATCATCATCCAACTCCCGAGCGCTTTCGATATCATCATTTTCTCCATGGCCAGTGTACAGAAAGCCTCCCCAACTCCAAATACGTCCACGAAGAGTTAACGCCAAGGAATGACAAACACCTAAGGCGATCGAACTGCAACTCTTCCCAATCATTTGCGTCACGATCTTGGGACTCAAAAAGTCTGCTTCTTCTCCATGGCCACAACGTCCAAACGATCCAGCTCCCCAGCACCACACTTGCCCCAAGGAGTCAATGGCAGCTGAATGGGCTTCCCCGACGGCCACGAAGCGAAAGCGCAGCGCTGTGCCCGACGACGGCACAATCTTGGTTGGACATAAGGCCGCTTCGCAACCGACACCGTGGCCTAAACGTCCATGGCCACCATGACCCCACGAAAACATTTCACCTACAGGGGTGCGCAGCGCATTGCTACGTGCGTAGTAAGGCCAGGAGTCCCAGTCCCTAGTAGCGATGCCTTTCGCTCCGTTCGTAGCTTCTTGCTACTAGTAATGCCCTTGTTACTAGTAGCGATGGCCTCCACCCTACTAGCGATGGCCTCCAACCTAACAGCTTCTTGCTACTAACCTAATAGGAATTGCAGTGAAGGGGCGTGAAAAGAGAGATGTATATTTGCTGAAACAAAAATATACACGTCATGTTTACGTCAGGGATGACACATGTGGACACGTGATGGTTCTTTGCCTTTCTGGAGTCCTAGTCTCAGATTGTCCCCTGTCTCATTCTACGAGAATCTGCGTTAGGCCTTTCTCTCACAGCCTTTCTTAACGTCTTAACCTTGTGTGCTCAAGGCCATCGAGTGCTTGGTGCCAGCTGCAACTTGACAACAAAGCTGGTCTTGCGGCATCTGCACCAAAGCGGGGCTCCACTGATCACAAATCTTTCCCGTACCCAGATTCCCATAGCTGCCGATTCCCCAGGCATAGATTCGCCCATCTTCGCTTAAGGCCAACGTGTAGTCTGTTCCACAGCTGATGGATGCGATTTTGGCCCCAAACTTCACCTTGACTGCCTTATGCAAACTCCATTTCTTGCTCGACGCGTTCCGCGTCAAGGATTGAACGAAGCTCTTGTTGCTCAAGAACTCGGCCATGTCGTTGACGTTTGAAGACGACTTCGTCGTTTGGTTTTGAAGAATCTCTTGAAGTTCGCTTTTGCTTTTGGGACGTTCAAGACCAAGACGGCCACCATTCCCAAGGCCCCAAATCCACACGTCGCCACCGTCTTCACCGGGACGTTTTTCCAACACACAACTGTGATTGCCACCGCAACTCACTTGAACGATGTTCATATCTTTAAACTGTTCCAATACAAACGGCTCAGCTTGATAACCTGAACCTTTTCCAGACGAACCTGGAGCTTCCAATTCTTGGGCCTGTCCCTCTGAAGGTGTAAAGATGCATTGTAGGGAATTGCGCTGAGCACCAAAGCTGTAGCATGTGGCCACAGTTCCTTCCTCGTTTTCTTCCTCACTGAGCACAAGGCTCTGATAAAATCCTGCAGCTAAGTGAGAAGGCTCCACAAACGGCAGACTCATAGGTTGCAGGCCATCGCGACTAGGGTGGAGGCCATCGCGAGTAGAAACAAAGACAAAAGAAAAGGAAAATTGCTCTTGGGTTGGAAGCCATCACTATTAGTAGGAGCAAGGATGCTACTAGGGGCTCCTGGCCTTACTACTAGGAGCAAGAAGCTACTAGGAGCAAAGGGCATCGCTACTAGGAGCAAGGACGCTATTAGGTTGGAGGAAAATTGTTCAAAATTCATTGTCAGATCTGCGGAGACCTTTGCTCCGACTGCAAAATGAGCCAAGTATACACCAAAACTATACAACATGTCAATCCTTCATCGAATTTATGATCATTCATGCATAGAATTTTATTTCTTTCCCGCTCTGTAGAAAACAATCCTGGAATCTTTCATCGACTGTGAACGACCTCGAAACGCACAAGTCTTTTGACATTCTCTCTATGGCTTGTACGGTGACAGCCCTTCAGGGTCCGGCCCTCGCTGCTGCTGCTTTGAGGCCTTCAAAGCAAGCAGCTATGGCAATCTCACGTCTATGCACACCGTCTTCAACCTACTAGCAATGGCATCCAACCTAATGGCGATGGCCTCCAACCTACTAGCAAGCGTGCAAACATCTTCGCAAAATCTGTGTGATCGGCCTTTAACTGTGGAGCTTTCTCTCCTTCGACTTCAGCAAAACGAACAGCTTCCAACTCTTCAATGAGCCTGAAACGGGACGAAATGCTATGACCCGACATATGTTGCACAACACCATGCTCACGTAAACAACCGACAGGCACTGGTTCAGCAAATTGGGCCGTGGCTTCTTGGCGATGTTGTCTTGTGGCGACTTTTGCCTGATCAACGGAAAATGCCGAGAGCCCTTTGTTCCGTTCGTAGCTTCTTGTGGCTGAAAATGGCATTTTAGAAATCGAAAAGAAATCGAACTGATCAGCCATCTTTGACCGAAATCGCACGTAGACGCGCACTTGAGCAGCTCGATTTTCTCGTCGAGTAGTGCTAACCTGAAGGTTATCATTTGAAGGATGATTGCTTTGTGTTTTTCTGTGGTCTTTTCTCCTTGTTATTTTTACTAGTGTGTCCCTCTGACTTCTGACCTTCTCTTATTTTTTGTAAGCCCCGGGGTGTAGGCCGCTAGAAGAGGGGCAGGCAGTAGCTTAACTAAGCTTCTGTAGGTAGGATGCAGGATAGCTCACGCTTCTTCAAAGAAGCTCCCCCAGAGCTGTTTGGATCAAGCCCACTCAGCTTACGCGCCGGCACGCGCTGCGGCAAGGCCACCTCTCCTCACGAGGGGTCTTGCGTCTACAGAGCTGAGCTGCCCCAAGCTCGGCAGTGCCATGGGTACTAAGGACATGGGTTCAAAGCATGAGCTACATGTCGATAGAGCGTTGATACACTGGGCCACTGCGAGCCTGCCTTCGTCCTTGGCCGTGTCAGTCCAAGACGCGTTGAAGGCCATAGCTGCCACAGGTACATGTGAAGACGACCTTGCTGAGTGGATCCTTTTTGGTGAAGTCGTACTGGTACATTGTGGTCCACCCAAATGTGTACAAGTGCGCCGAACCTCCATGCTCTTTCAAGATGATTCGCTGGCCAATGATGGCTGGAAACAATTTGAGGTCTGCTGTCAAGCAGATCATGCCCGTGTTGACTTCACACCTGGAATGTTCTTGGGCCTCCTCACGAAGCCCTCCCACAGACAGACTGTTGGCAAAGTGACAGCCGATGAGCACGTGCTGATTTGGAACATCTCGATGCTAGACCTGAATCTCGCTTGGAACGTCTCTCACCTGTTTTCAGGGGCGTACGAAGGCTGGTTGAGATCGATGTGCTGGTTGCAGCATGCCAATGTGGGACAGGCCTTTGCAACTCACACCTCCATTGATTGGTGCCCGGATGTCATGAAAACGTGGGCCTACAATCACAACAAAGAATTCTGGCGTGGACCGATCAAGGAGACTTATAATCCTGCTGATACATACAATGGGATTTTGGCAAATATTTGTGACCCATCAATCCTGCGTGCTACAACAAACAAGTCCAACCTGGCGCTTACCTTATCACCTCCTTGCCCCAGCTGGAGCAAAGGTGGCAAAAACTCAGGACTTGCGACTGAGGAAGGCTTCCTTTTCCTCGATGCAATTCAGCATGTTGCTCGCAGCAGGCCTGTTTTGGCATTGTTCGAATGCTCCGATGGTATTGAAGCGCACCCCCATTGGCGTGCGCTTACTGCCGGACTTCAGCTCGCAGGATATGTCAAGTTGTGGTCACAAGATGTAGCCATCCATCAACTTACCGGTAACCACAGGACCCGCTGGCTGGCCGTCTGGGCTCGAAAGGATGTGAAATGCCAAAAGTCCCACGAGAGGATCTTGTGTCATCAGCAAAGAAGGTTAGCATGGGATGATGCACTACACCTCTTTGGCTTACCCGAAGCCTTGTATTCTGACCTCACTTTGCCAAGTGAACTGACTATGATCTATGGGGACAAAAAATTCCTTCCGCCGGCCAAGCGAGCGAAAGTTGGTGAGAATGCAACCGCTGTGCAGGTATTGTCCTCCAGGGCAATACCGCCGGGTGATTACCTGCCCACTTTGTGTGCCTCCTACACAGCACAGCATAGTCTCCAACGTGAGCATGTCGAGGAGAAAGGCATCTTTGCAGCACTTTTGCATAGAGGTGCTGACTTCCAATTCATTGACCCTTTTGTCTTTGTGTCGCTCTTTGGGACTACTGATTGCATCGCCTTACCAACTGATATTCGACGTGCCTTTCATCAGTTGGGGAATGCCATTTCACAGCTGCATGCTTTGGTAGCTTTTCTTTTTGCCCTTGAAGGTGTCTCAGACGAACAAATCCCCAAGTTGAAGCTTGTTCGCCAGTGCTGGGAAGATAGGTTGACTTCCGACAATGCCATTGTTCGTACTTGCGGTGACATGTACGTGCTCCAGCCCATTGCTGATTTTGCGGCCAAAGCCATTCCTAGCATCAGAACATGGCAGCCTTGGCTAGTTGGAAGCACCCTGATTCGCTTTTGTGATGACGCCGCTCTCATCCCAATCAATGTTCAGAAGGATGGCAACGTCATTGAGCAATTACTCCATGCTCTTCAGCTGGAATCGCACCATGTAGGACAGCTCAAGCTCGCCCGAGATGGACGAGACCTTCCCAAGGGCACTGGATGGAATAAGTTGTCAGATGGAGATTTTCAGCTCAGATTGGGTTCAGCTGACCTTGGAACGCTGCGGGTCATTTGTGTGAACAGTATAGATCAGCTCGAGGACCCCATTGTGTCCCCCACGCAACCATGGCACTTGGATGAGGCCGATCTGGAGTTTGATCATTTGGTTGAAACCAATAGCAATGGGTTCCTTCATGTGCTTGAACATCTTTGCCAAGATGTCAACCCGGTACATGTTGGTAAGGTGCTATTCCTCTTACAAGATGGTTCTTTTGAATGGATTCACATGGCGAACCTGGAGCGTATCGGCAGCATTCCAACCTTTCGCTTTCAAGGAGCTCCGATCCACTTCTTTCAAATCAACCGAGAAGCTTGCCGAGTCATGTTGGGAATACAGGTGGTCATTGCCATCCGTGGTGAGTATGACCCTCTTGCAAATAGCAAGTGGGTCCTGTTGGCTGGTGGCTCTGATCTCAAATGGTGTAAAATCACCCAAGTACCACGTGGGCTCACTCCTGCGCAGTGTGCAATTGAACTCCAGCAGCATTGTCAGATTATCCAACGTAATCTGGTTCAGTGTCGACAGGAACAACCATTGATGCTGATTAATGGGGATCTTCTTTGGTGTGACGTCCGGGTGCAGCAAGCTTCCACTATAGTGTTCGGTGGTATGGACCGACTCACTGACCATCCAAGTTGCAATATCCATGGAGACCGAATAACTGAAAGGCTCCTCCAATTCAACCTTGAGCCGGGTGCACTTGCAGTAGACGAGATTGTCTTTCACTTCGATGTGTTGCAAATTCTGATGCCTTCGATTTGTTGGTGCCCTCCTGCGATGTGGATCAGCAATGAAGCTCAATTCCGATTCCCTCACGAACCTGCGGACTTGTTGCTATGTTTTCAGCACTTCGTGGTACCGATCCTGGTGCTCTTCGACTGGATCTTCGTCGAGGTGAGGTTCTTTGAAGGGCAATGGAGAGTCCTCTATCATTCACCTGAGCAATTGACGCACAGACAACGTCACGCGGTGCTGGAGCTCATACATTACATGGGGATCCAAGTGATGCCCAATGCTTTTCGGTGGATACGTACTGCTGAGGACTCCGACATGGCCTCGTGGTACACACTCAGAGGTTTCTTTGCCAGGGCAGGAGCGCCGCTTCTTCCTCAGACCCATAGAACCACCCAAAGGCTGCAACGTGTTCAGCACAACCACCACGTGATGCAGGTGATCGATCAGGCTGACTTGGTATGGAGGGACTCTCAGGTTGATGATCGAATGCTGCAATTTGCCCGTGCGGGTAGGAATGCATTCCTGGTTGCCATCCTTGAAGCGCCGAGTCGAGCAGAAGATTTGATGCTTCGTGCCACAGGACGACCTCCTTACGAATATCACATCAATGAGATCTTCTTTGTTGCTGATGAATGGTTGGAGATGAGAATGAATATTTACAGGACACATCCTGGATGGGCTTCCAATGATGAACTTGAATTTGCAATGACATTCTTTTTGCCTGACTCCTTTTGTCCACCGGTGCTGCATCATGATTTGTCCATCATTGCGGCCAGTGTCAAGCCCCTCTCTCAAGAAGTTCAAAAGTTCATTGCGCTTCGGGAAGGGCACTGGATTGGCATCGAGGTCATCTGCAACGCCACTGAACACACATGTCGAGTGGTCTTCCTGCAAGTACCACCACGGGACCAACAGTTTTGGGCCACTTTTGCTGAGGACTTCATTGTCCCAGTTGGGTTTCGTCCAATTATCATAGTCGATACCAATCGTACTTGGCCTGGTATGTGTGGTTGGGAACTACTCCATCGCTGGATTGTTGCGGACTTGTCGTTGCCAGACACCTTCCATATTCCGCAACAGAAGAG